ATGTTTTCTCTCCATGTGACTCTCCTTAGGCACACTCTACATCATCGATCACTTTCCTCTTTGGCTCCATAATCTCCTTGATCAGAAAATTTGGGACACTATCGAGTTACATGACGTTACAGTACAGGTTCTCATATGTCCTGAGTCTTAATTGACCTTGGAAGGTTAGGGCCAAAATGTTGGCTTTCCTTGCAGCCCTTTTTCTCTAATTTTGGTCTGCAAACTTAGGTTGTTAACCCTCCAGAAGAGAAGTTTATTGTTATTACCATACAACCTAGGCTGTTAATCTTAACCTCACTATCTGTGTGAATATCAAACATCTTAGGCATAACATGGAACAGGTATTTGTGATTTCTTGAAATATTTCAAATAATTTCTCCATGTATATAAATATACAGTAGCCTGTTATAAGCTAGTTGATTGATTGGGTAGACTGTAGCTACACAGAGTTGACATTTGTTCATCTCTTGTGTCCTCTGCCTCCCAGGATGCAACTGGGTGATTATTCTCACTCCTGGGAAAAGCTAAGAGAGGCTGTGGATATAGCTCAGCAGCTCAGCCCTTGCCTGGCAAGTACAAGGTCCTGGGTGTGATTCCCAGTACCAAAAGGGGGGGGGGGCGTGTCAAGGACTGTGAGTGCACAGGTGTGTGCATGAGAGTGAGCAAATTGTAGGCTGGGACTCTACTTTAGGGGCAAAGAAAGGACTTGTTGCTCCTCTTATTGTCTCTGAGCCAAGTAGGGGCTTTAGTTTCTCTGCAAGTGGCACTACTATGATTGTTCTGTCCTCTTCCTTTTCTCCCTTTGCACTGAATGGTGGTCTCCTTCACATACCTTCCACACTGCTTTAACAGCAAGCCCTCTTTCCTGGCTGGCAGTGCTCAGGACACTGTGGCACCCAGGAAATGGTGGGAGGCAGCTTGGTTTCTTTCCTTTGTTTAGGGCCATTCAGAATGTTTTTGCCTGGCTCAGTTCCTGTTGGGCATTTCCAGTTGAGTGCTCTGTTCACTTTTCTGCTGTGGGCTTGGTGTTGACCCCATAGAGTACCGGCCCTGGCGTCATAGGGGCATTTGCTGGACATGTTCTCTAGCCTGTTGGCCTGCAACGTCAGTTATTTTGTGCTTAGTCTTGTGCTCATGTCCTGTCTGTTACTGTGTTTGGCGATTCTTTTTGCTTTTATCCTGGAAGATGACCCCCATCAGATTGATTGTTTGAGGCATTCCCCATGTCTCTATCTCATGTTTCTCTTGTCTGGTTTAAGATTTTAAACTTACTCTCTTGATGTTGCAAAAGAGAATGCAGTAGCACTGTGAGGCCTCCCCCACCTACATCTCTTTGTCAACCACCCTGCCCAGAGTGCCAGAGGTGTGGCTACTATCCTTTGTCTCCAATGTTTACTAACAGTTTAGTTAATAAATTTTCCTGTTACTCACTGGTGATTCTTGAGGTTGAAATGTCACAGAGCCTGCTTGTTAGGTGGGCTGTGAGATTCATTGACATTACCCGCTTATCACTGTGCTTTGTTCTTTATGCAGTGTAGTAGGTTCTCCACACTACATCTCTTTTTCAGAAATATCTAGCTCTTCTGTTTCAAGTTCTGTGTGTGTGTGTGAGTTAGTTGATAAATAGTGCTTTTTTTTTCTCCCCCCTTTTCTTTCAAGACAGGGTCTCAATTCTGCAGTTCAACTGGCCTTGAACTCACTTTGTAGTCCAGACTGGCCTTGAATTCTCAGCAGTCAGTGTTGGGACTAAAAGTGTACATCATCATGCCCAGTTGATAAATATTTTTGAGAGTAGGTATATTACAGTTTCCCTCATAAAAGTCAAAGCCCTGTTCTTTTTTTTTTTTTTTTTTTTT